TCTTTCCAAGCGGATACCTTTGGTGACGGAAGTGATGGCGTCAACTGAAAGGAACATTATTATTATTTTTGTTTCCTGCCTTTTTTTTCCCTTGGGTCTATATGGTGCATTTTTATTGTATAATTTTATTATTTTTTATATATGTGTAGAATGCTGGGGAATAATATGTATATTCTTTCTGGGTTTTTTATACCTCTTATGTTTTCTTTGTTATTATTATTATTACTTCTTTATATATTAGTATTATGTGTACGTATGTATATCATACAGTTACCATTAAATTTGTATAATGTTATTATGCTATTTATGTTATGTACTGTCTTCTGCTGTTTAAAATGTAAACTGATTATTTTTCAATAAAGACTGGACGTGGTGGTGGTGGTGGTGGCGTTCCCGAGGGATCGGTTTGTAGCTTCAAACCCTCTTCGGGTGAGCTCGGTTCCTTTGGGCATTCTGCCATTTGCCCTCGTGTTGCTTTATAGTGCAACTGTAATAAACACGGACTCATTCACTCATCAGAAACAATGTGGAGAACGATAGGAAATAGTTGTAGTTGATGATATTTCTTTTGTGGCCAGTAGAGAGCAATATTTATCAATTTATCTCCTGTACCCAATGACCGAACATATCTGAAAATTTTCATTATTCCACAGTTTTCAAACCTAGATCAAAAGCTATTAACACTAGAACGTCCGGGATTTAGATTACCCTTAAATGTCCACCGGTGTCATTTTGACACCGCGACATAAAATATACAAAATAATTGCTTTAACTAAATAATTTCAAGACTACTGTTCAGTAGGGTTTAGTTTTAAGACTTTTTAATATTATTTTATGTAATTAACATATTTTATGACCCTTTACATTATAAGAGACTGACGTTGACATGTTTCGCGAAGCTCGTTGGAGACCACCGTTTTGTCGCAAAACATTTCGAGTCGCAAATCTGCTAGGGACATTTCTATTGTGCGGTATCCGTTCTGTGGCATCCGTAGAGATATATATATCAGGATTTACTAGAATATGATCAATTATATCTGTTTTTTCTTCAGATTCTTCGCAGTCACTTTCACTCAATCTTATGTCTTCATCGGAATCTAAATTATAGGCGATTCTCACATTCTCAGAAATCTATCGTAATAAATTAGAAATTTCATCAGGGCTTAGGCCTTTTCTACGAGCCATCGTTTCAGGGTGTCTGCTTTGTACAAGGTTTGAAAATCGAATGAAATTTTTTTTTTATGAGAGGATAACCAAATGCTATGTAACAAAGCATTTAGACACAACAATTTTAGAAAAATAAGATTCGTTTCCATTGTTAACTCAATAACACTGCATTCAAAGTCAAATAAATGTGTGATAGTACTTTGGTAAGTTTGTTTTACTATTAGTAATGATGAACGACAGCTATTTATGATGATAAATTGCCTTAGTATCGAAATGAAACCAGCGGACGTTCTAGGTATATTTAGTTGTAAAACTTCTCCTAACTAACCTAGAACCACAAAAATTTTACTGTGTAGTTACCATGGGAAAATAAATAATAAAAGTCACGAAAAGTTTTCAAATTCTCTGAAAAAATGCGGAAAAGAGAACAAATTGAACAGGCTCCGGTGTCAAATTGACATCGATGGACGTTCTAGCGTTAACACGCTGTTCTACCCGCACAGTTATCGTGGGCCATTGGAAATAAACAGAAAAAAGTATTTTAAGAAAAAAAAAGTCTCTCATTCAGGTAGGTCAGGAAGACTAATAAAATATTCCGGTTATATCATCTAAACGACTGAAAGGGTTGGTGGCTTATCGAGACACACGTTAAAAATAAATAAAATAGCCCTGGTAAAAAGATAAAGGTAGGAAAACTCACTGCTTTTTTTTCTTTGATAATAATTAGATTTACTTGTTCCTAACAATTATTGAATGTAAGTTAAGCCATTAAAATAATACTATTAAGTTTCCTGACAGCATTCAAAATCAAAGAAAAAAAGTCACGTTAATTGCTTATTACTCGTACTTTTGCACTTAACAATATTAAATATTTGTTACAAATCATATCATATTTGTTATTTATTTTAATTAATCATAATCTCATTAATAATTCTGCCGATCGCAAACTTTTTTGATTTCTCCCACCGTAATTAAAAAGCGCATTTTCAAGTTAAAAAATATTAAAATATAGAAAATAATGTCCGTCTCGATTATATTAAGTCTACTGCCACCAAAACATCCTTTGGTTTATTATTGGACCTTTTTAAAGTATCTCTATTTATAATTTAAAATGGGATGCTCTTGATTGTGGTGCATTAAAATAACAAGTGATATAAAGAAATTTAAGTCAATTCCTACTTTGTTAAAAAAACGCACTGGCGCCATCTGTTGCAGCTAGTTGTAACTTCGTCAAAAATAATGCAGAATAAATTTAAAATAAAAAAATAACTTCTAATTAATGAATTAATATTTGAAAAACTATATTAGCATCAAGTGTCATCCACTACAAGTTTAAAGAAATGTATTTGAACTTAAATGGATGAATAGAAAGTATTTTACTAATGATTAAAAATGTGAACAAAGTATATATATATATAAATATATATATATGTGTGTTGTTGTATAGGGAGAGAGAGGGAACTAATAGTAGGAATTAAAAAAAGATATAGAGAGAGAAAAATATTTTTCTAGAAAGGCTAAATTAAGATAACTTGTTTTGAGAGACCAAATTTCTTTTCAAAATTATTGCTTGCTTTTAAAAGCTAGTCGAAAATTTATATTCCCTGGTTTAAAAATTCAATTTACGTATTTTAAAATTTTAGTTAGAAATATTCTTAAAATAATATAACGTCATAAATAAAATTAATTTGTTTTGGAGAAAAAAAATTATTTTAAAATCACATGGAGCATTATTACTACAAGGGAAAACTAAGCGCTGCGAAAATCAATTTACTGTTTTTAGCACCCAAACATATATAAATATGTATCAAATTCCTCCTACATCAATTACATCCAGAAAGATACAAGGATAAAGAACAACACGAAAAAGCTGTAATTTACTCGTTGCAGATACACGTGTCTTGTGTGTTACCTGGAAAAAAGATCAGCATTCAAGGACATGGGATTTTGTTTTCAATGGAAAGCCTTAGGGCGATTGTAGTTTTACTCAATACACCTTAGCAAATTTGAATTAATTGCCATCCAAAATAACAAATATCCCACCATTGTTGATTATTAAATACATCGTGCTCTTGCGAAAGATCTGAAGGGCGGCATTTGAAAGATTCATCTGTTGATGTCACACAGAGCAAGGTGACACGTGTATTATTAATGATGCATTAAAGGAATTTAATTGAAAATTGATCTATGTTAATTTGTGATTTAAATAGCAATATCTAAAATTAGAGTAAGGCTCCATTTTTCAATTCCTACCATTTGTTCACACTCCTTATATATATATATATATATATATCTTGTTCAAAATTTCAGTCGTTAATAAAATACTTTTTATTCATCCATTCAAGTTCAAATACATTTTTTTAAACTTGTAGTGGATGACACTTGATGTTTTACAGTTTTTTCAAATATTAATTCATTAATTCTAGTTAATTAATGAATAAATTGTAACAAACAAAAATAATAGATCAACACCATGTATAAAAAGGAAAATTACTGTTTGTCCCTGTAGCGCAATGGATACCGCGTCGGACTTCTAATCCATAGGTCGTGGGTTCGAATCCCACCTGGGATGGCCTAATTTTTGAGAATGTGATTTTTTTTTACTATACTAATTTATTGGAAAAATTAAATTAAATTAATGAATAAATAGTAACAAACAACAATATTAGTCGAACAACCTATATATTATAGAATGGAATATTCATATATATATATATATATATATATATATATATATATAAATGAAAAATTCTTTGAAATAATTACAACGTTTTTTATAATAAAATTTCAAATGTTAGCAAAAAAAATGCTTTAATTTATGAAATTTTCCTATTTAACTGGAAAAGGCTCATTTATAAAATAAAACGTAATAAAAAATTAATCCTAAAGATATTGAATCCTCAAACAATATTTAAAAATTGGAAAATATCCTTCTAATATCCTTCTAATACCCTTCTTCATCAAAATGTAAACTCTCTTAAAAAAAAATTCGACTTAAAAATCCCATCCAAAAATAAATATTTCCTTTGAATGGTTCATCCGGAATGCATTTTTCATTTTATCTCCAAATATAATCAAAATTAACAAATGCGAAATGAACAATATTACTAAACACATGTTTTGCTGACAAAGAATACACATTCCTTTTAATCTTGTAGATTAGATATTTACACTGTTATGATAAAATTAGGATCATTCGATTGTGCAGTATGATGTCAATATCTGATTTCGCATCATGTTCATGTTACTAATGAGAAAACAGAAGATTTTTATCTGTCAATATATAATGTGATTAAATCACGTTGTATCGATGAGGTTCCAAATTATTCATTTCCTTTTTGTTTTTTAAGAGAAGTATTGGTTGTAAGATTTTGATATTGTTGCTATATTCAACTACCTGTATTACTAATAACTTCGAATTTTTTCAAAATATCTGTTCAGAAGTTTAAAAAAATATTTTAATGTAACTTGATTAAAATAAAAGATCTTAGTGTGATTGTAAAATAATAAAATATTTGAGTGTCACCTATCCCTACTCTTTTGTACCCACACTAACCTTTTTCAATTCCTACTATTAGCTCACAACGCTCCCTATATATATATATATATATATATATATATATATATCTTGTTCAAATTTTCGATCGTTAATAAAATACTTTTTATTCATCCATTCAAGTTCAAATACATCTTTTTAAACTTATAGTGGATGGCACTTGATGTTAATGCAGTTTTTTCTAATATTAATCCATTAATTTGTTTAATTAATGAATAAATATTAACAAAAATAATATTCCAACACCCTATATAAAAAGAAGAATTGCCCATTGTGTGTCTCTGTGGAGAAATGGATTGCGCGTTGGACTTCTAATCCAAAGGTCGTGGGTTCGAATCCCACCTGGGATGGCCTTATTTCTGAGAATGTGATTTCTTTTTACTGTACTATTTTATTGGAATAATTAAATTGAATGAATCAATAAGTAGTAAAAAACAAAAATAATAGTCCATCAACTTATATTGAAAGGAAAATTGCTTTCTATTTTGTCACTTATAGTAGTGTGATTCTGTCATATGTATATACATATTTATATTAATTTTGATTATTTAATAAAAAGTAACTAAAATAAAAATTTTCTTTGTTGATCTAAGCAGGAATTGACTTAAATTTTTTTTTTTTTATATTACTTCTTGATAAAGCTTTTGGATTTCATATTTGGATCATTATGCAAACCATGCTTAGTTTACTTATTTGTCATGATCATATATATATAATTTTTTAATTATAATATAATTATATTATTTTAATTATATATATATATAATTACATATTTCATATATCCTGCTGTTTTCAGACCGTTACCCTTAAATTGTATTTCACACATTACGGACTGATACGTTTCTTTTCTCTCTTTTATGAAGAAAATGACATTTTTCTACCCAATAATGTAGAGAAAAAAAAGGGCAAAAGTTTGACTCTTAAACATAAAACGTTGAAGGCAAAAATGTCTATCATTTTATAGGCCAATCCTGCAGCTCATTCCTTCGCCTGGATGTACTTTTTAAAAGCAGAGCTCCTAACTGCATTCGTATTTGCTTTTTTTGTTACGACGATTTCTCAAATTATGGAATGATTGCATACTTGGCCTGGTATTCTATTAGTAGTCAGGGCGTAACGTACACCTCGCAACCTCCACATTGTAGGGGGGTCCAGGTGTTCTAGAGGGCCCAAGACTTGACTGATATCATGAGATTGGGGCCTAAAACCTGATTTTGCGGAAGGAGCCTAGTATTCTTCGTTACGCCACTGTTAGTAGCTAAGAGTTATATGGTGACAGGTTATGTGGGGCTGGTATGTATGTGTAATAATTCCTTTTTTGAAAAGAATGTAGCATTGGTAAGAGAAATAGCTGAGTGGAGTACAAAAAATTTATTAATTTATTTTAAACATCATTCGAGAGAGAGAGAGTTTGATGCGACTTTTCGCTACAACTGTCGATCTACCAAAGAGGCGGTAGAGTACCTTCCTGCATTCAAATAAAGAAAAGCACAGAGAAAAATATAACAGGAATGTTAAAATAATGTGTTCAACAAAAGGGAAATAATCATTTATAAACTATGTGGATCAGAGGTGGGCACACAACTTTTTTTTGGATCGTGGCCCATATTGTGGGAGAGGAGGATACCACACACACAGAAAGCCGCGCCTTTTTTAAATGATCGCATTCATTATAGAAAAAAATAATAAATATAAGTTAATTAAAATAGTGGCAGTTATATTCAATTTATTTATTGTGCTTATTTTTTATTGTCTAACTGTGAGCCCATTTAATTTTAGAATTAGTTTAATGAGAAAAATGTATCCTATTACATTTTTCTCCATTTAAAAAAAAAATAGGATTGAGATTGTTTGTTGAAATTCTCATCACAACAAGCAAGTTAATGTCAGCCAACTTGTATAAATATATTTACTCTTGCAGATCTTCGTGCAAGAAACACTTTGCTTACAAATATATGTCAACCCAAATATAAAGAATATTTACTCTCTATATTTGATTTTCTGACTGTCTTACAAGGGTACGACTAAGGAAGTTCATTTTGGTACGAGACTGAGTAATAGTAGTACTCCCTTAGGGTGTTAAACCCTTAACGTAATATATCGCCGAACGGCCAGTCAGTTAGGAGAAAAAATAGCCTTCGAAATTCATACTTAGATTTTATACAATTAAGTTTCAATTAGCTCCAGCGATGCAGTGGCATATGCAACAGCGCACCTGCATTCAGTGCGATGGGTAAGGGCTTGAATTTCTTGGTCGATTTGCTATTTTATTATTTTTTTCCTTTTAAATTTATTTGATTATTTTAACTATTAAATAAATTTATTTAAAAAAGGCCTGTTAAATATTTTATTTTATTATAAAATAATTAAATTAATAATATAAGATATATGTATTATTTATTATAATAAAACAATTTATATATTATAAAAATATTTTTTATATAATTATAAACTATTTGTAAATATTTTACTTTTTAAAACACAAAATAATTATATAAAATATCATTTAATATTTAGTATAATATATTTTTATAATAAATATTATTATTTATCAATAAAACCATAATAAATAATTAATATTATAATGTATTTATAAAATGTAATATAAATATTTGTATAATCATAGTAATTGCTTAAGTTTTTAAAACACAAAATAGTTATATAAAATATTTAATAAGCTTTTTTTTAAATAAATCTATTTAATAGTTAAAACGATTAAATAAATTGAAAAGAAAAAAAAAGCAGCAAGTCGATCGCGTAACTCGAACCCTACCCTATCACGTAGATTGCAGGTAAGCTATCCCCTATGCCACTGAATCGCTGGAGCTAATTAAAACTTAATCGTATAAAAGCTAAGCATGAATTTCGAAGGATATTTTCTCCGAACTAACTGTCCATTCGGCGCTATTACGTTGAGGGTTGAACACCCTAAAAGAGTACTGCAATTACTCAAAGTCTTCTCCCAAATGAATTTCCTTAGTCGTGCCTTCCCCTTGTTAGCGAAACACAAAAAATTTCTTTGCTGGGAGCTATTTGCTCATTTCTGGAAAAGACCCCCAGAATTCAGACAGACAATAACAAAGTTCCTCTTACAAATAATTTGTAAATTAGTAAATATGTATTTTTACTGTTTACTTATAAAAGCAAAACTTCTATCCCAAAGACGATGTCATTGCCGATTTCTTTGATACAAGTATTAGTTTTGTGTGGATCCCACTTCATATTTGCCATGATGCATAAATTATTGCTATTGCTTTACAGTCTACATAACTGCTGTTACCTAAATTACCTTGTAAAATCTATTTTAAGCGTACAAGTGATCAATAAAAATCACTTAAAATTCATGGTGTCTAAAAGGATGATTAAACATAATTTAAACTGAATTAATCAAGACGGTAGCGTGTCAAAATACTGTGTTTATCGCGATGTAAATGGAACGCTAATGGAATTCTAAACTACGCGAAGATGATAAAGCGCGAGCTATAAAAAAGTTTTTCGTTTCTAGAACCAGTAGACGGTATCTTTACAACCAGCTTGTTATGTAAAAATTTGAAATTCTGATCATGGCTAGCTATCAAATGGAAATAGAAAACAATAAAAACCTGTCCTTGGCCTTGGGATCCGAAATGCACAAACAATTTCTACTTTTCATCCCTTTTGTTTTTGGCTCTCCTCAAAAAATGTTCTTTGGGAGTGTCTTAGAAATACAGATCTATGATAATAAGCTTAGAGAATTAATCAGTATCGATTTATGGCAAACTTGAGACATAATTTTTTTTTTTGATAAGTTACAGAAATTGGTAATGACATATCTCCATCTTTGCAATGACCTGAACAATTTGTAAGGGTAATTTTTGGAAACGCCTTAGGAAATAATGTTATATAAGGAGCACTGAAAGAGAATCTATACCCAAATATAGAAGGCATCGGATATATATAAATTGCTTTTGTCTAAAAAAGCAAATATTTTACTGCATGTGTTTTTTGGAGTTTACTCATTAAGATTCAAATTTTTTTTTTGCGAGGACTGCAAAAATTTGTAACGTGAAGAGTGTTGGATGTTAAAGATTAAAACAAAAGTGATAAATTCAGGGTTAGGTTGAATGAAGTGTCCTTTAATGTAACACACAATTACTTATTAATTTAAGGTATCCGACTACGTTCTTAACCGTGATTTTAAAAAAA